AAGGCTCAGGCGCCTCCTGGTGGCCAACCAGCCTCTCTGCGCCCTGCTCGGAGTCAGGATCCTGTCCAGGGTCCTCCACCTCCTCCAGAGCCGACTCATAGGGCCCCTCGCTGTCGGAGTATGGTGGCAGCTCCAAGGGCTCCTGCTGGGCCACAACAGCTTGCCATGGCCAATTTGCTACAGCGCACGTGCTACCGCCAACTTGCTGCAGGATAAGGGTTACACTCATAATCAAAGATATGGTGGGGTAGAATCATTAAAGAAAGGCTGCAAAAGGAGAGACAGAATGAAATGTGAATGGCAAAAATTAAAATAATTCTTATTTATTTTAAATAATTCTAATTAATTATTTATTTTAATTTAATTCTATTTAAATTAAATAGAATTGTTAAATTGTCCCGCAGTGAATTGTCTTGCAATGAGTTGGCCATGGCGAGTTCGCCCACTGCAAGTTGGCTGTGGTGAGTTGGCTATAGCGATTTGGCCATAGCAAGTTGGCCGCAGAGAGTTGGCCGCGGCAATTGTCCTATGCCCTGGTGACACAGCCTGTGTTTTCCGTTGAAACGGTATCTTTTCAACCCAACTCTAAGGCTTTGTATCTCCCAATAGGGTTGGAAAGGCTCCTCCATGAAATGTTAAGAGAGCTGCTTCCTATCAGTGTTGGCAACAGTGAATTAAATAGTCATAAGAGTGTAAGACGCTTCCTTAAATTATTTAGAAACAGGCTTGTCTCCATACCTCCTTCATTCTGCTCGTAAAGAAGAATGCAGGATGAGTAATGAAGATGCTGCATGATCTCTGTTTTTTTCCACTGCAATCTCGTCAGGTAGACAGGGAAGAACTATGGTGAAGGTTTCATTGTCAATTTTATTGCCTGAGCCAGCAATAAGCCATTTATAGGGAGCAATCTGAAAAGGGAAGTCATGATAAGTCCAGCAGCCTCACAGAAACAGGGACAAGTCCAATTTGTTAAGTCCAAAAAGTACAAGAGCAAGGGAGCATCCCAACAGCTTATTTTGATATCTCAAGTAAGGCAAATTTTGGACAATCCCACCAGTGTTTTAGGCATTCCAAGTGCCATGCTCCTTGATTGAGTCATGAAACAGGACCCTGACAGACAACGATTGTCATTATAAGACTACAAAGCACTTTTGTGCAGTGTATATCAGCCCTACTAACTAGATCAGACCAGGAAGTCAACTCCACAGGATGGTTAAAACTACTTTTTTTTTAAAGACTGATTTTTGCATGACAGAATCTTGGCAGTGTGATTGTGCACCTACACTTCCTTACACTTCGGCAAATTACCCTCAAAATGATGCTATAGGGCACTGGACACAACAACAACTAGACACAAGGACAGTTTTTGTTCCTGAATGCCATCACTCTGCTAAATAATTATTTCCCAAAACATTGTCAAATTATTTACTAAGACTGTATTGCTATTCTTCTTCTCATCCTTCCTAGTACCTCTCTCTTCCCACTTATGACGATAACCATGTTGCTTGTATCGTTACAATTTATATTGTTTTATTAGTTTCCTAGTGTACTTTGATTGCTTATTAGTAACCTATGACTATCACTCAGTGTTGTATCTTATGATTCTTGAGGAATGTTTTCTATTTTATTTTTTCTTTATGTACACTGATAGCATATGCACCAAAGACAATTTCCTTGTGTTTCCAATCAAACAATAAAGAATTCTATTCCATTCCGTTCCATTCCATTCTATTCTACCTGCCAAAAAAAAGTGTTTATAGTCAAGGCTATGGTTTTACTAGTTTGCAATGTATGGCTGTGAAAGTTGGACCATAAGAAAGCCTGAGTGCCAAAGAATTGAGGCCTTTGAACTATGGAGCTGGAGAAGACTCCTGTAAGTCCCTTGGACTGCAAGATGATCAAACCAGTCAGTCCTAGAGGAGATCA